GAGATGGGACAAGGGAACAGGGGTGGGAACTGTCCATCTGAGCTGTCATTTAGCAGGGGATCAGGAAGCCATGGGCATCACAGCCTTTGCCTCTGCAAGGCCCAGAGGACCATCTCAGCAGCTCTGCTCCTGCAGCCACTTCTGCTTTCTCCAGGCCTCACTCCCCTGCGGCCCTGCAGAGTAGGGCAGTGTCACCTTCTCTCCTCACACCTCCATTCTCTGAAGTCAACATTCCATCTTTTCAGGGCTTGGTGCTGGGGGTGGGGATTGTCTTTGTTTATTTTCACTACTTACAGGTTACAATAACAAAATAATACTCTTGGGAAAATTACATATTGCATAGAAGCCTCAAAATTCTTCTCCAGATAATTTTGTTGCTATTACCTGGAACACAATGAGTTAGGCTTGCTCTGTGGGGGCTGAAGTCAGGGACCATAGGAACCCCCTCCACACCACCTCCTTGTGTTTTTCCCTATACCTCACCCTGGGGAGGGAGGAGGAGGGTGAAAATAGGGAGCCCATAGAGTAGAGCTGTGGACTTTGGCTTCTGGAGGAAGTCCAGGGTGTATATATAGATCCCATCGCCACACCTTCCTATCTCACAGGAGAGATCTCCAGAGCCCATGCCCCACCAGGAGTCCAGGAAGAGCAAAGATTTCTGGATTCCAAAGATTCTCCTCTTAAAAACTGGATCTCCACATGCTTTAAATGTAAAAATGAACTCACTATATCTGAGCAGATGATACAAAAGCTTCCTGAAAGACACCATATTCTTATTCTATAGCCTGAAACTACTGCATAATGTATAATCAAATGAACTTGAACAACCCCAGAAAGTACAATGCCTCTAGTGAATCACAGAACTGTCCTACATTTACCACCTTTTAAGGGGAAACTGTCCTTTAGGATGAAGTCCAGAGGCCAGGCGTGGTGACTCACACCTGTAATCCCAGCACTTTGGGAGGCTGAGGTGAGCGGATCACCTGAGATCAGGAGTCTGAGAGAAGCACGGCCGACATGGTGAAACCCTGCCTCTACTAAAAAAAAAAAAAAAAAAAAAAAATTAGCCAGGCATGGTGGTGGGCACCTGTAATCCCAGCTATTTGGGAGTCTGAGGCAAGAGAATGGCTTGAACCCAGGAGGCGAAGATTGCAGTGAGCTGAGGTTGCACCACAGCTCTCTAGCCTGGGTGACAGAGCGAGATTCTGTCTCAAAATAAATAAATAAATCAAATGCTGAAGGTAATGCTTTTATTTCTCAAACTTGTTGGCCAAAAAAATAACAATGAAAAACACCAACTAGAGTAAAAGAAGGCAAAGAAAAACAAGACCCCCACAACAGTATAAGCTGTCAAATTGACTACAGCACATCAAAATCAAATTTTAGTTCTTAGTAGGCAAAAAGAAGTGATTTTGTAATGACAAGTTTATGATCTGTATTTTATTTCTCAACCATGCATCAAAATTCCCACTTCTCTGCCTCTAAAGCCTTAATGTTACTATTAAATTATGAAATCTAACCTCTCAGTGACATTCTCGTGGTTAATTCCAGCAAAAGGAGGAAAACACAGATCTTACCAATGGGGCAAAAAATAGGAATTTTACAAGACACAACATGCTTGTTAAAACATGTCATACTCCAACACAGAAGAGGAAAGAAATGTCTTCAGTCTGACATAACTAACTGTGCTTTTGCTGTTCCTAGACTTTTTTAGAGTATTTTCTACAGTATCATAGGTAGTGTTTTCTAGAGGCACAAACGTGATCAGTCTTCTTTTTAATGAGAGTTTATTAAAGTTCACTTTATTTTACTTAATAAAAAATACTACTGCCCTAAAGAGGTTTTAAATGAAGCAATTAACTCATTTAGAACTCTTAACAATCCCGTGAAGTATGCACAATTATCTCATTGTATAAATAAGGAAACTGAGGCAGGGAGCAGATAAATATATTTGTTAAGGCCACATAGCAAGTGAGCTGAGCAATCAGGACAAACTGAGCCGGGCTGACTCCAGAGCCCACACTCTCAGCTGCCTCTCAGAGCAGGTGGGTGGACACAGGCTTCATGAATATGCACGCCATGACTCATGTTTGTCAGCAACCAGCAAAGTACTGAACTGTTCCTATGCTGATGTTTTCTTAATTGCCTTAATTAGGGAATTTTTCAGTACATCAAAAGGGAGCTTTAAAAGTTGTTTTTTAAAAAAAGTTCTAAAGAGAAAAGAACAAGTCCAGCAGACATGGGTAAGTTCAGTATGGGCCATTTTGATGGATTAAAATTCCCTGTTAACTACAAAAATCCTCAGTTAAATAAGTTATATAGGCCCGACATGGTGGCTCATGCCTGTAATCTTAGTCCTTTGGGAGGCTGAGGTGGGTGGATTGCCTGAGCTCAGGAATTTGAGACCAATCTGGGCAACATGACGAAACCCCATCTCTACTAAAAATGCAAAAAATTAGCCAGGCGTGGTGGTGCATGCCTGTAACCCCCGCTACGCAGGAGGCTGAGGCATGAGAATCACTTGAGCCTGGGAGGCAGAGGTTGCAGTGAGCCGAGATCGCACCACTGCACTCTAGCCTGAGTGACAGAGTGAGACCCAGCCTCAGAAAAAAAAAAAAAAAAAAAGAGATATAAGAGGTAATTCCTGGTTAGTTATGTCAGAAGCTACTGATTGAATGCCAGAGATTAGGTATCAGAGGGATAAGACTAATTTATAGTTGAAAGTTGGCTTATAGAGTCTTTTAAACCATGAAGGCTCTCTGCGAATTCCTGCAGATACAAATTAATGGTGAAAATATTCTCAGGAGAGGTCTAATTTAGCAAAACACACGGGCTAAAGAGGTTAAAAGTCCTTCTGTCACAAAACTATTCCCAATCAAAATGAAAAGAACACGTTCATTCTGAGAAATCCCAGTATCATTCAATTTCTACACTATGGGGAGCATTTCCCTTTTTATTTCTTTCAAGTAGTATTTCTTATACGAACTGTACTCTATGCTTTCCCGTTGCCAGCAAAAATAGTGTAAACATTAGCATTAGTATTAGCGTTCGTTTTAGTATTAGTATTAACCTAACAAGCTCAGGTAATGGCAGCAGCAGTCTTCTCCTGTTGACGTTACCATCCGCACACAAGCACACAAGGATATTGCTATCGTTCCTACCATAAACAAAGAAATCTTCTCTTGACCTGGCTTTTCCATGATTCTCCTCCATTTCTTTTTGCCCCATTATAGCAAAACTGTTCAAAATTGATTTCTGTATCAGGCGCTTCAATTCCTCTCACATTCTCTCTTAATCCCCTACAGTTAGTTTTTCAATTCTGTCTTATCAAAGTCACCAGTGGCCTCCACATTGGCAAATGCAATGGTCACTTACTGGTCAGTTGTGTCTTTTGTTATTTGGCATATCAATGGTGTTTGACACAGTTCTTTTCTCCCTCCTTTTTCTTTTTTTTTGAAACACTCTTTCTATGAATCCTTTTTTTTTTTTTTTTTTTTTTTGAGACGGAGTCTCACTCTGTCACCAGGCTAGAGTACAGTGGCACGATCTCGGCTCACTGCAACCTCCTGACTTCCTGGTTCAAGTGACTCTCCTGCCTCAACCTCCTGAGCAGCTGGGATTCAGGCGCGCATGACCGCACCCAGCTAATTTTTGTATTTTTATTAGAGACAGGGTTTCACCATGTTGGTCAGGATGGTCTCAATCTCCTGACCTGGTGATCCACCTGCTTCGGCCTCCCACAGTGCTGGGATTACAGGCATGAGCCACTGCACCTGGTGGAATCCTATTTTTAAGAAAACAGTTTTACTGAGATACAATTCACATACTATACAGTTCACGCATTTAAAGTGTACATGCCGTTGATCTTTGGCGTATTCACAAAGTTGTCCAACCATCATCACAATTTTAGAACATTTTCATCACCCTCTCTCCAAAAACATACCTATTAGTAGTCACTCCCCAAATTCCTCCAAAACCCTAAGCCCTAGGCAGCCACTAAGCTACTTTTCTCTATACAAATTTGCCTATCAGGACATTCCATATAAATGGAATCATATAAGAGAGTCTTTTATGCCTACCTTCTTTCACTTACCCTGATGTTTCCAAGACCTTAAAAACATCATGCCAAGTTAAATAAGCCAGTCACAAAAAGATAAATATTATACGATTCCATTTATATGAGCTTCCTAGAGTTGTCAATTCATGGGAAGAGAAGTAGAATGTTGGCTGCGAGGGGCAGGGGAGAGGGGACTGGGGAGTTGCTGTTTAATGGGTACAGAGTTTCAGTTTTGCAAGATGAAAAGGGGTCTGGAGATGGATGAAGGCAATGCTTGCACAATGATGTCAATGTACACAATGCCACTGAACCGCGTGCTTAAAAAGGGTTAGGGTGACAAACTGTATGTTGTGTATCTTTTACCATCATTTAAAATAATAATAAAAATGTCTTTGCCAATGAAACTATTTACAACTATTTTTAAAACTCATTTAATAGACAAGGATAGGGATCTATCTGTACATTACCAGGCACTGTTGTGGGTTTTGTTTTGTGTTTGAGATGGTGTTTCGCTCTTGTTGCCCAGGCTGGAGTGCCATGGCACGATCTCAGCTCACTGCAACCTCCACCTTCCAGGTTCAAGTGATTCTCCTGCCTCAGACTCCCAAGTAGCTGGGATTACAGGCATGCACCAGCACACCCAGCTAATTTTCGTATTTTTAATAGAGACGGGGTTTCGCCATACTGGTCAGGTTGGTCTCAAACTCCCGACCTCAAGTGATCAACCTGCTTTGGCCTCCCAAAGTGCTGGGATTAAAGGCATGAGCCACCGTGCCTGGCCTACTCTGGGTTTTAAGTGAAGCAAATATTAATGTAACAGGTTTAACAATGATTAGGGGATTAAAACTAAAGTTTGTTTTTCACAATAATTGTTATATCAGAAATCTCCATAGAAACAGTGATCCAAACTCATGTTCCCTTTCCAATTGAAAGCATAGCTCACCTGACCCAGATCCAAGGTGAGGTTGACTCTGTTGTACTGTGTGCCTGAGGACAGAGGAGGGCTTTGCCACCAACGTTCAGATCCATCGATGGCATTGGTGACAGGATGTGCTTTCCTGGGGTCCTCAGAATTGCAATAGTCACAGAACTGGCCCTGGGGAAAAAAAAAAAGTGTGTTTTTTTTTTTTAACTTTTAAGTAATTTTTTCTTATCCAAATAGCAAACAGAGGGAACCAAACAAAGACTACCATATGAAATGTCAGCTGTTAAAATTCACTGAAATGTATTCTGAAGACAGTAGGAAGGCTTTCTCTTTTTCATTTATCATAAGCCTTATCACCTATTTATGCCTCTGTTTATGGTGTTTTTAGGATATGGGGTCTATTTATCTTCCATCTTCACAGCTATGTTTTTGTTTCATACAACACTTCAACAAGAGCCTGTTGTATTTGGGATGAAAGCATATTTTCACTTCAACAAATCCACTTCACTCTTTAAGTCCTCCTCTGTGCAATTCTGTATGCGGCACTGGGGTACAAAAAAGATCCCTCCCCACAATCCCAGCAGGGCATTGAGGATAGCAACAACCATCAGGGAAGCAGTGTACAGCAAGTGCCTCTGTGGAGTAGATGGCTGCAGCCAACGGCGGTAGATATTCCATGGTGGAAAAGAGGGTGTGTCCACTGCCTGGGAGGACAGATAGGACTTTGGTAAGTGGCAGGGTGCGCAAACGGGACAAGCGTTCGAGGTAGAGGAACCAGCACCAGCAAAGGCACAGAGGCCAGCTGGTCCGGCTTGACCTAACCATTGAGAGACAAGGCTTGACAGGTACATGAAGAGATGTGGCTGGCTGTGACTACCAGCACTGAGAAGTCAGTAATTAATTCAGCAAGTCAATGGGGATCCATTTTTACCAGCAGTGATATCTGTTTGGTATTATCATCTCTAACTCCTTATCGAAAGACTCTTTTTCTCACAAGGCAGATTCTTTTGATTCTAGTTCTCGTTTTTGTTTGGTTTTCGCATCATTTTGCAGCCACTTGCCATCTGAAACCTGAGCATAGGCCTTTCTTCTATGTCAAATGGATTTTAAGTGGGTCAGAGAATCATGCTTCCCCCGGGATGGACTTCACATACTGAACTATCTGCTCCCCAACTAAATGCTCTTAGAGCATAATCGCCACATAGGAGGGGGACAAAGAGGCAAATTTATGCCCACAGCCTCCCCAGGATGTGCTGTGACAAAGAGGTAGCTCTGATCTTAGCCAGCATCTTAGAAGTTAATTCTTAAGTGTTCAGAGAGAAATTTGATCTTGGTATGTGACCAAAGGTGTGACCACATGTTTTCATCTAGTACGCAACTCATGGTTCTTTCATGCATGGTGAGGTATCTGTGTAGATCTTTATCTTTCAACATGACACAAAAATATTTCTATAACTCAGACAGCGCCTTGGGTGTATGTGGCCCCGCCACTTCCTGAAGTCATGGGCTATGTGTTTCCCACTCTTCCCTCTATCACTTCAACCCAGCACACTGCCCTGCACCCAGGAGAAATTCAACCAAGGAAGACTCCATCAGCCATTTCTCAACAATGTTGGTTCTTTCTATAAAATGCATTGTCATAATAAGGTGCTTAATGAGTAACTTTTTTTTTAAGATGGAGTTTCGCTCTTGTCACCCAGGCTAGAGTGTAGTGGCATGATCTTGGCTCACTGCAACCTCCACCTCCTGGTTCAAGTGATTCTCCTGCCTCAGCCTCCTGAGTAGCTGGGATTACAGGAGCCTACCACCATGCCCAGCTAATTTTTGTATTTTTAGTAGAGACGGGGTTTCACCATGTCGGCCAGGCTGGTCTCAAACACTACCCTGTAACTCTCTAACAGCTACAACGCTAGTTTATTAGACATCCGTGCATAATCACTAACATACATTATTTCCTGTAATTTGTTTTAAATGGTAGCCTTCACAATAGCCTGAAGGCCTCTTTCATTTAGAATCATTTTAGCCTTTCAGCTGATATACCGGTCCTTCTGCAGACCCTGTCCGTGTCATTCAGCAGACAGGGTAAGAACACAGACTCAGGAGCTTTAGCCCTCACATTAGCCCTTGGTCTCACAGTTAGTAGGCACTAAATATATATACATATCTATCTCAAATATATATTTTGAGTCTGAGCAATAAGTTATTTGAAAGCACATATTTTAAGAATAAATGTATAGGCAAGACAACATCACAATTATACAGGCTAGTGTCAACACTGACATTTGGAAGTCTGACTGATACAATAGATACATAAGTTACAGGTGAATTCCAAGGAGTGAGCTTTGCCCAGGTAATAAAAATGAGCCAAACTTTCTGTTTATTTCTAAAGGCTACTGGAAAAAAACTTGACATCAGCAAAGAGTCTACAAAAACAACTTGTCAAACCAGTAATGCCCTAGATGATGGTTTCTCTGAATTAACTTTGTATTAGCCAAATTTAGGTGATAAATTTTTTGCCATATAAAATAATTTCTAACAAAGAATACACAAGCTTAAGTTAAACATTAACAGGCAAAATGTAACATACACTTTGTTTGAAAATAAAAAAATGAGTGTAAACATTGACTTAGAAAAGAAAAATTTATTCTAAAATTTTAAGAATATATTTAAAAAGTAATAATTAGAAGGTTTGGCTTCTTCAAGTTACTCTTAAACAGTCAGGGTGAAAGTTTTTTATTCAAATAGTTTTATTAAAATATTCCTTCTCTTTTCTATTTGTTTTACTCTTGAAGTTTCAGTAATTTTTACCTTACATCTCAATGTCATATTTACTGCAAATCAACCTATATGAAGAATCAAAAAGAATTTAGTAGTGCCCTGAAGGAAATTAGACTGTGGCTCTAGAAGTAAAAAAAAAAAAAAAAAAAAAAAAAAAAAAAAAAAAAATCAGAAGAATGACTTTTTCTTAAGTGTTAAAACTTATCCAGCCTTCTCGGTCATTTTTCTTGAGGTCTTCATGGAGAGTTAAGGTCTACATGGAAATGCTAGATACGTACACTTGCGGTTGAAGAACTTTCTCAGGGAGGCCAAGGTTATGACTAATCCTGCAGGTAAAGCCTTGGCACCAAGCAACGGGGTTTTGAGAGAAGACAACCTCGTGAGGCTTTTGAAAAGTGCAACACCTGACAATATTTTTGAAAATCAAACTTGTGGCCTTTTCACAAGATGGCGCCGAAGGCAAAGAAGGAAGCTCCTGTCCCTCCTAAAGATGAAGCCAAAACGAAGGCTTTGAAGGCCAAGAAGGCAATGTTGAAAGGTGTCCACACATGCGGTGAAGATCCACATGTCACCCACCTTCTGGCGACTCCAGAGGCAGCCCAGATATCCTTGGCAGAGCACCCCCAGGAGAACAAGCTTGACCACTATGTATCATCAAGTTTCTGCTGACCACTGAGTCCACCATAAAGAAGATAGGAGAAAACAACACACTTATGTTCATTGTGGGTTAAAGCCGACAAACACCAGATCAAACAGGCTGTGAAGAAGCTCTGTGACACTGACGTGGCCAAGGTCAGCACCCTGATTAGGCGTGATGGAGAGAAGAAGGCACGTGTTCAACTGCCTCCTGATTATAACACTTTGGAGGTTGCCAACAAAATTGGGATCATCTAAACTGAGTCCAGCTGGCTAATTCTAATTATACATATGTATATATTTAGAATTATATATATATATCTTTTTACCAGGAAAAAAAAAGAAGAGAAAGAAAATCAAACTTGTGGAACAGAAGAGGAAAGAATCCATGGGAGTTCTCAGATGGAAGATCATTGAGGAGGCTCTTTCCTTCCCGTGAGTACCACTGGGATAGGCCACATTTATTCTTTCTGTAGCCATATCTTCCAACAGACACTTATACTAACTTTACTGTTTCATGGGTATACACAAAATAAAAGGGCTTATGTATTCATAAGTCTGTGCTGTTTCTGATTCAACCTGAAGTTTTCCACTAGAATTGAAAGTAAAAAATGGGCAAGGGACAAGAAGAAGAAGGATTTTTTAAAGGCGGGGAAAAAAAACAGATATATAACATTTGGAATACAGGAAATAAAACTGTTATTATTTATTTAAAGATGCTAAAAGTATCTACATTAAAACTCCACTGTGCCATTGAGTCTGGGCACAGAGGCTCACGCCTATAATCCCTACACTTTGAGAGGCCAAGGTGGGTGGATTGCTTGAGCCCAGGGAGTTCGAAACCAGCCTGGGCAACATGGAGAAACCCCATCTCTACTAAAAATACAAAAATTAGCTGGGTGTGGTGGTCCATGGCTGTAGTCCCAGCTACTTAGGAGTCTGAGGTGGGAGGATCGCTTAAGCCCAGGAGGCTGAGGTTGCAGTGAGCCAAGATCATACCATTACACTCCAGCCTGGGAAGGAGAGCAACGCCTTGTCTCAAAAAAAAAAAAAAAACAACTCCAAATGAAGCCAGACACAGTGGCTCACACCTATAATCCCAGCACTTTGGGAGGCTGAGGCAAGAGGATCACTTGAGGCCAATAGTTTGAGACCAGCCTAGACAACATAACAATAAAAAGATTTTTTTTTTTTAATTAGCCAGGTGTGATGGTATGTGTTTGTAGTCCCAGCTACTTGGGAAACTGGGATGGATTGCTTGAGCCCAGGAGCTTGAGGCTGTAGCATAGTGAGCTATGATCACACAATTGCACTCCAGCCTGGGTGACAGAATGAGATATTGACCCTGAAAAAAAAAAAAAGGAAACAAAATAAAAACCCAAATGTATCTGCTAAAGAGAATTTTAGAAATATTGGGAGATTTTTAGCAAGGTAGCTAGATATGAGATTAAAATGCAAAAGTCACTGCATCTCTATAGAATAGCAGCAAACTAGAAAATTTAATTAAAGAGAAAATGCCATTTTTTTATAATAGTCTCAGAGAACATCAAGTATCTCAAAAGAAATTTGACAAATAAAAATTTTAAGCTGTATTAAGAGAATTTTGAAAATCTACATAAATGGAGAATTGGCTAGAAGATAATATCAAAAAGTTATCAATTCTCCCCAAACTAATCTATAGAGACAATATTATTCCACTGAAAACCTGAATAAGGACTTTCTTAAAATACAATAATTCTAAAATGTATATGTAACTT